GGCAAAAGTTGTAACTGCAATGTGATCTTGCCCTGTTTTATATTTGAAATGTCTTTTTTTAAGTTCTAATCCTTTTTATCTTTACTTTACAATACTCATTGATGCTTCAGTAGTTAGTCAGTTTATAAGAGGAGTTGAGAAAGCAGAACTTACCTTGCATGTAACTACATAAGGATGACAAATTTGCACCTATGTTAAGAGACATTACAAGAGTTCTGTTATAAGTTCATCATGGACAAATGTACATCCCTCTTTGACTGATGATCTCGAGAAAGAAGCAGCTACAATATGGATTAGTGACATGCTTGCTCTAGGCTCTAGCACTACAAGTTGATCATACGCCACAATTTTTTTTTGATTTTTAAGCAATTCTCTGTATATGGAATCTCTGTAAGTGTCAAGGTCTCTAGCTTAACTTTTCTGTTAACTAGTGATTGGGGAAGGATCGGGTGTCTTACTCTTAGAAGAACTTGAACATGCAAAGGTATGCTTCCACTTAACCAATATGCATCTGATTTTGTGAAGTTATTTTGGTCCATTCAGAACTCAGAAGGTAGTCAATTTGATTGTAGCTGTGTTGTGTTTTTTTCTGATAAACTACAGACGAGAAAGGCTAAAATATATGCTGAGTTTTTGGGTGGAAGCTTCACTTCTGATGCTTATCACATGATAGAGCCACATCCAGAAGGTAATTTCATACATGGAAATTACCAGCGTATTGCTGGTATTCCAGCTCATTTTATATCGTGTACACAGCCATTCTAAAGCATGGAAGACTTGTATTCCTACTGATTTCTTTTATATGCTTTACAAAATAGGAAGTGGAGTTGTTCTCTGCATAGAAAATGCCTTGGCTCAATCTGGGGTGAAACATGAAGATGTCAACTATATAAATGTTCATGCTGCATCAACGCCAGCCGGTGACCTGAATGAATATCAGGCCATTCTGCATTGTTTTGGGAAGAACCCTGAAGTAATGCTCTTGTACGCCTTTATTTTTGTTTTAGAAGATGTCCTCATATAGCTTGTTCTCAGCAATTGCTCTCTAATTCTCTTATATTGAGTTCTTTATCATTCAGCTTAAAATAAATTCAACAAAGTCCATGACTGGTCATCTCCTTGGGGCTGCTGGTGCTGTGGAAGCCATCGCAACAGTCAAGGTAATAAAGTTTAAGATCGTTGCATACAAATACCCTATACAAGCTTAATATGGACATTTAAATTCAGAGAGGGATGAAAGGTTTAGATAGAAAATTACAAATTATGTTTTCTACAAGTATCTGGTGCTGTGGAAGCCATCACAACAGTTAAGAGGTAATGAATATTAAGATAGTTGCATACAAATACTTTGTAAAAGCTTAAGATGAACTTTTAAACTCATAGAGGGATGAAAAGATTTAGATAGAAATGTACATAAGTACCAGGTATGTTGTTTCTTTTAATAAGTGAAAGCACCAGGTATGTTTTATGATTGGAAATAAAATTTCAGAAAATATTTATGAATTACCGCAACTAGTTTAGAATCGAGGCATTGTTGTTGTATATTTATAGAGTCGTCACTACTTAGTAAAAGGACCGCTGGCTGTTGTAATGTAACTTCTTCGAATGATGGCTTGCTGCTGGTTTGCTTCATAACATATTTATTAGGCCTTAATAGGCAACTTTTAGCTGTTGAAGTACGCATTAAGTCATTAGTAATCTATATGTTTTTGAGACAGCACAAGCTAGGTATACAGATGGAAAGAAATCAACTAGTGTTTTTTGTCTCGAATTTAAACCTGATATCACATGGTTCTTAACCCACTTCATTGACTGCTAGGCCACACTATGATCTTTTGTGTTTTTCCCATCAGAATAAAAAACTTCTTAGGTAAATAGATTGGTACTGGATGCTCGCAGGGGAAAAAAGCTTTTAGATTGTCATGCCAAGTATTGAAGCAATCTGCTAGTTCGTTTTAACACGTGGAGAATGAAGTAGTTTCTACTTCTATTGACTTGTTAGTTGGTTGACATAAGTTACTGTTTCTGAAAGAAGTCTGTATCTGCAGTAATTGTATCTTGAAATGTACTTTTAGTTGAGGTAATCTAGCATTCATTTCCAAAGGAGGGAAGCTGGAACACAATCGCTTTCTACTAGTCTATTTGTGCTTAGAGTAATTACAACTATCTCAGACCAAAAAAATAAAAATAAAAATTACAACTATCTCTGCACCCTAGCTTTCAGTTTTTATATGAAAGTTTGCTAATACTTGTTTATTTGGAATTATATATATATATATGCCGATAGTTGGAAGGCTAAAATATATGCCGAGTGTCTGGGTGGAAGCTTCACTTCTGATGCTTATCACATGATGGAGCCACACCACATGAAAATTACCAGCGTATTGCTGGTATTCCAGCTCAGCTTTGACATTGTGTATTTAGCCATTATAAAACATGAAAACCTTATATTCTTACTTATATCTACTATATGCTTTACCAAATAGGAAGTGGAGTTGTTCTCTGCATAGAAAAGGCCTTGGCTCATTCTAGGGTGAAGCGTGAAGATGTCAACTATATATGTGAAACCATGAGCTGATCATTCTACCATTTATGAGAGCTAAGAAAGCTTTACAGAAGAAAGACTCTCTTGAGTGTGAAGAATCAATCAGAAAAAACAGAGCTTACAATGCTGAGTATATCATCTATTTATAGACAGTCTTACTAATCTTGCTGATCTAGAATAATCTAGAAGCTTCTAATTAGGTCAACCGACTCATGACTTAACCAGCTAATTGACTGTTAACTTTATTACTAACAGAAAATTAACAAACTAATGGAACAGTAAAAACAGACTATTTTAACCAACTTATTGGACACTAACTTATTGCTATTTTAACAATATAAATGCTCATGCTGCATTAACCCCAACCGGTGACCTGAACGAATATCAGGTCATTCTTCATTGTATTGAGAAGAACCCTGAAGTAATGCTCTTATACGCCTTTATTTATGTTTTAGGAGGTAGTACTCATATACCTTGTTCTCAGCAACTGCTCTCTAATTCTCTTAAAATGTATTCCTTCCCTTTCAGCCTAAAATAAACTCAACGAAGTCCTGTTCACCTCCTTGGGGCTACTGGTGATGTGGAACATTGCAACAGTTAAGGTAATAAAGTTTAAGATCATTGCATACAAATACCTAATACAAGCTTAAGATGAACTTCTAAACTCAGAGAGGGATGAAATGTTTAGATGAAAAATTACAAAAGTTATGTTTCTATCTTAGTAGCTGGTGTTGTAGAAGCCATCACAACAGTTCTGAGGTAATAAAGTTTAAGATTGTTGCATACAAATACCTTATACACGCTTAAGATGAACTTTTAAACTCATAGAAGGATGAAAGCTTTAGTCAGAAAATTACATAAGTACTAGGTATGCTTTTTTTAAATAAGTAAAGGCACCAGGTATGTTTTTGTGATTGTTTTAATAAGTAAATGCCCCAGGTATGTTTTTATTATTGGGAATAAAATTTCAAAAAATATTTTTGAATTACCGCAACTAATTTAGAATCAGGCATTATTGTTGTATATTTATGAGGTCGTCAATACTTAGTAAAATGATTGCTGGCTGTTGTAATGTAACTTCTTCAAATGATGGGTTGCTGCTTTTTGCTGGCTGGCTGTTGTAATGTAACTTCTTTGAATGATGGCTTGCTGTTTTCTTGCTTCATAACATATTTGTTGGGCCTTAATGTAACTTTTATAATGGATATGCTTGAAGAGAGGAAAATTATTATACATTTTTATTGTTAATATACATAAATATTTGTATGAAAATTCAATTCTCATATACTACGGGGAAAGGAATTTGGAAAAATTACGCGGCTAAGCAAATTTATACTATTTAATTACTCATCATAGCTATAGTTTGCTATAGTTACCACTCGCGACTAACGTTATACATTAATTACGTGGGTTGACTTCGAGTTTGTATAATTACTCATGTTTGTTTATGTATAATTCGTCAGGATATACAAATACATATGTATAATATACTATTTTTAAACCTATGTACATATGCAATTCACCTCTTTCCCACTCTATGCACTCTTTCGCTCGTCTCTCTCCTCCCTCTCTCAATCTTGCTCGTCTCTCTCCTCCCTCTCCCAATCTCACTTGTCATTTATATAAATGTGTGTGTGTATATATATATATATATATGTATGTATGTATAATATTCAGTTATATGCAATTACATACATATACAATTCACCTCTCTCCCACTCTCTGCCCTCTCTTGATCTCGCTCGCCTCTCGTCCTCTCTCTCCCGGTCTCGCTCACCTCTCTCCTCCCTCTCCCAATCTCTATTGTCATATATATAAATACATGTGTATAATATACAATTATCTAACCAATATACATATAAATTCACTTTTCTCCCACTCTCTTTCTCCTTTCTTTATAATCTCGCTCGTCTCTTTTCTTCATATAACATGTAGCTATAAAATTATAATTATCATATTATAGGTATGAAAAGTAATTAATTATTTTTAAGTGGCTATATGTAGAAGTTTCTCAAGGAAATTTTATGAGGAAATCGAAATCAAATGGATTTTGCGGTGAAAATAGTGTGTTTGGAAATTGGAAGAAATCTGAGAGGAGGAGAAAAATATATATTTTTGGTAAAAGAAAATTTCGGATATTAAAAAGGAATGAATACAAAATAAAACTGTTTATTCCCTTATTTGTATATACCTTTTAATTTAATAATAAATAGGCTATAAACGGTGAAGTGTGTTATATTTCTACTCTATAAATAGAGATATCATTCCCCTTTTGTAAAATACACTTGAATAAGAAGAAAATCTTATCTTACATCTTACTCCTCTTGTTTCCATCTCTTTATATTTATATTGCCATGAGCTTGATTTTATAACAAAATTGTTTATTTGTATATACCTTTTAATTTAATAATAAATAGGCTATAAATGGTGAAGTGTGTTATAATTGGTAAGTTATAAAGTAATAATATTGTTTTTATAAAATTGATCCCACGTAATTTTCCTTTTTGGAAATCCTATACGAAAAGGAATAGTAAACCTAATCAAATTAGGAAGTAACGCGCACACAACTTTAAAACCTAATCAAATTAGGAAGTAACGCGCACACAACTATAAAAAGGACTCAACAACTCTCACTTTTTCTTCTTTGTCAATCTCTCTTCTTCTTTTCTTTTTTTTTTCTTCTCTTGTTGTGGCAATGGAAGAAAGCCTAGAGTACCAAAAGAAGAGTTGGATTGCTTTAAAAAAGAGCATAAATGGGCTGCTCAATAAAATCAATAAAGCGAACATAAAACACATCATTCCTGAATTGTTTGAAGAAAATTTGATTCGTGGTAGGGGCTTGTTTTGCAGATCAATTATGAAATCACAATTGAATTCTGTTATTTTCACAGATGTTTTTGCAGCATTGATAGCCGTTGTTAACACAAAATTCCCACAAATTGGTGAACTTTTGTGTAAGAGGATCATTCTGCAATTGCGGAGAGCTTATAACAATAATAATAAACCTCAGATGTTAGCATCGGTTAAATTTATTGGTCATCTTGTCAATCAGCAAGTTGTTCATGAACTTGTAGCTTTGGAATTAGTTACTCTTTTACTTGAGAAACCTACTGATGATAGTGTTGATGTTGCTGTTGGTTTCGTTAAGGAATGTGGTTCGATGCTTCAGGATCTGTGTCCCTTAGGGTTGCACGCTATTTTTGAGAGATTCAGAGGAATACTTCATGAAGGAGAAATAGATAAAAGGGTTCAGTTCTTAATTGAAGAACTTTTTGCATTGCGGAAACAGAAGTTTCAGCCAGCTGTTCCTCCAGAACTTGACCTTGTTGAGGAGGAAGATCGATTAACACATGAAATCTCTCTCGGAGACATGGTGGACGAGCAAATTGAATTGGATGTTTTCAAGCCCGATCCTAATTTTGTTGAAAATGAAAATAAGTATGAACAACTACAGAATAGGATTCTAGGTGGGAGTGATGAGGACGAAGAATCTGATCTTCTAGTTGGTGGTGATCAGGACGAGGATGAATCTGAGGACGAGGACGAGCACGAAATGAAAATTGAAGATGAGACAGAGACAAACTTGATCAATCTTCGGAGGACGATTTACTTAACGATTATGTCAAGTGGTGGGTTTGAAGGAGCAGGGCATAAGCTGTTGAAAATCAGACTAGAGCCTGGTCAGGAGATGGAACTATGCATAATGTTATTGGAGTGCTGCAGTCAGGAGAAGACTTTTCTCCATTACTATGCACTTTTGGCGCAGCGGTTATGCATGATCAACAAAGTTCACCAGAAGAATTTTGAGAAATTATTCATGCAACAATACTCGATGATCCACCAACTTGAAACTAATAAACTGCGTAATGTGGCAAAGTTTTTTGCTCAATTACTAGGCACTGATGCACTGCCTTGGCATGTTTTGGCTTATTTAAGATTGACAGAAGAGGATACTACATCTTCTTCTCGTATATTCATCAAAATTTTATTCCAGGAGTTGTCAGGGCACCTTGGCATCCATAAGCTGAATGAGCGTCTTAGTGACCCCTCTATGCAAGAGTCGTTTGAGTCGATATTTCCAAAGGATAATCCTAAAAATGTGAGGTTTGCTATCAACTTTTTCACATCCATTGGTCTAGGTGGGATAACTGAAAATCTGCGAGACTATCTGAAGAACATGCCAAGGCTCATCTTGCAGCAAGAGAAACGTGTTTCCAGAGATGATGATCGTCCAAGGAAGAGGAGGAGGAGAAGTTAGCTAGTAAATTGATTTTAGTGTTGTGATTCTTCTTTAACGTGTTCTAATATGAGGCAATTGGAAAAATCTTTTACTTTTTTGGGTTCTGAGTTTGATTTTTTCTCTGTTTTGGAGGTTAGATGCTCTTTGATTTCTGTCTTTATGTACATATACTGTCAATGAGAATGAGTACAGCAAACATGTATTGATCTTTTAGGAAATCAACAAGTTACATTGGTCTAGAAGAACTGTACATCTATTCCATGAAAATCATTGATGATACTGTCAAAAAATTGAGACATGATTATTTTCAGCAACAATATATGTTGAATGGTAATGGACATCACTTTTTTATAGCCATAGCAAATACAACAATAGTATATCACAAAGAAAAAAACATATTTCTCATTTCCAAGCAGATGTGAGATGAATTATGTATTGGCTGCTACAGTTCATACCTAAGAACAACTAATAGAAAGATGAACCCAATTTCAAAATATCTATAGTAGTTAAAAAGGTAGTACAGTTAGGAAAATGACTTCACACACTCGTGATCTCCGGTGCCAGCTTTCCTTTTTGATGAACTAGTAAAGATGTTTAGTTCATGTTCTAGCTTTCGTTGGCATGCTGGAATCTTTCAAGGGCAACTTGATGAAAATCAACACAACATTACATTCTTTAAACATGATATGTGCAAGGATTGAATTAGACATTCTTATAAGGCGCAAATAGAATAGACGAGTTGTGTCCTCCAAAGCCAAATGAGTTGGAGAGTGCAACCTTGATATCCAAGCGCTCCTTCTTAGAGCCCACCAGCACATTCATATCCTAATATCATGTTTAGCAACATTAGAACATAGTTAACTAATTAAAGCTGATTAAGATGCAATGGCTTCTTAATCGCATCAATATTAGATAGGGAGTGCAAGCTTGTTCAAAAAGCTGAGGGCATTAATTAACCAGATACATACCAAGCCATTGTCAGGGTTCTCAAGATTGATGTTTGGATGGATCCATCCTGTATGTATGGCCTATATATATAAAATTCCAAATAAACAAGTATTAGCAAACTTTCATATAAAAACTGAAAGCTAGGGTGCAGAGATAGTTGTAATTTTTAATTTTTATTTTTTTGGTCTGAGATAGTTGTAATTACTCTAAGCACAAATAGACTAGTAGAAAGCGATTGTGTTCCAGCTTCTCTCCATTGGAAATGAATGCTATATTACCTCAACTAAAAGTACATTTCAAGACACAATTACTGCAGATACAGACTTCTTCAGAAACAGTAACTTATGTCAACCAACTACAAGTCAATAGAAGTAGAAACTACTTCATTCTCCACGTGTTAAAACGAACTAGCAGATTGCTTCAATACTTGGCATGACAATCTAAAAAGCTTTTTTCCCCTGCGGGCATCCAGTACCAATCTATTTACCTAAGAAGGTTTTTATTCTGATGGGCAAAACACAAAAGATCATAGTGTGGCCTAGCAGTCAATGAAGTGGGTTAAGAACCATGTGATATCAGGTTTAAATTCGAGACAAAAAAACACTAGTTGTTCTCTTTCCATCTGTACACCTAGCTTGTGCTGTCTCAAAAACATATAGATTACTAATGACTTAATGCGTACTTCAACAGCTAAAAGTTGCCTATTAAGGCCCAATAAAGATGTTATGAAGCAAACCAGCAGCAAGCCATCATTCGAAGAAGTTACATTACAACAGCCAGCTGTCCTTTTACTAAGTATTGACGACTCTATAAATATACAACAACAATGCCTCGATTCTAAACTAGTTGCGGTAATTCATAAATATTTTCTGAAATTTTATTTCCAATCATAAAACATACCTGATGCTTTCACTTATTAAAAGAAACAACATACCTGGTACTTATGTAAATTTCTATGTAAATCTTTTCATCCCTCTATGGGTTTAAAAGTTCATCTTAAGCTTTTACAAGGTATTTGTATGCAACTATCTTAATATTCATTACCTCTTAACTGTTGTAATGGCTTCCACAGCACCAGCTACTTGTAGAAAACATAATTTGTAATTTTCTATCTAAACCTTTCATCCCTCTCTGAATATAAAAGTCCATATTAAGCTTGTATAGGGTATTTGTATGCAACGATCTTAAACTTTATTACCTTGACTGTTGCGATGGCTTCCACAGCACCAGCAGCCCCAAGGAGATGACCAGTCATGGACTTTGTTGAATTTATTTTAAGCTGAATGAGAAAGAACTCATTATAAGAGAATTAGAGAGCAGTTGCTGAGAACAAGCTATATGAGGACATCTTCTAAAACAAAAATAAAGGCGTACAAGAGCATTACTTCAGGGTTCTTCCCAAAGCAATGCAGAATAGCCTGATATTCGTTCAGGTCACCGGCTGGCGTTGATGCAGCATGAGCATTTATATAGTTGACATCTTCACGTTTCACCCCAGATTGAGCCAAGGCCTTTTCTATGCAGAGAACAACTCCACTTCCTATTTTGTAAAGCATATAAAAGAAATCAGTAGGAATACAAGTCTTCCATGCTTTAGAATGGCTATGTACACGATATAAAATCTGAGCTGGAATACCAGCAATACGATGGTAATTTCCATGTATGAAATTACCTTCTGGATGTGGCTCTATCATGTGATAAGCATCAGAAGTGAAGCTTCCACCCAAAAACTCAGCATATATTTTAGCCTTTCTCGTCTGTAGTTAATCAGAAAAAAACACAACACAGCTACAATCAAATTGACAAAACCTTCTGAATGATCAAAGTAACTCCACATTATCAGATGCATATTGGTTAAGTGGAAGCATACCTTTGCATGTTCAAGTTCTTCTAAAAGTAAGACGCCGGATCCTTCCCCAATCACAAATCCATCACGGTCCTGCTCCATCAAGAAAACAAATGCAGCTTCAGTAAACAGTAGCAGGGATCTTTCAAGAGCAAAACAAAGAAAATGGTTCCCAAGCTACTAACCAGTAAGAAATTCCAAAAGGGAAATAACAAAGTAATAGCAAACATGACTCACAATTCGAAGATAGTCTCTTTTCTTTTCCTATTTAAAGTAAAATATTTACATGTGTAGGAAGTCACAACAAACTGTACATGTACATATTCAAGAAACTCATTTTTAGAAAAACAGCGCTGAAGTCCATGCTTAATCGTTCACATAATGACACTTATGCTGATAATTTCAAAATACATCAAGAAATCTAATTTATGCATCAAAAAGCAGAATTTTCGTCAACAGTTGATTGAAACTTGAAACAGCAGAGAAATAGAGAAATTTGATTGCAATACCATATCCCAGGGACGTGAAGCCCTTGTTGGATCACTATTCCTCTGTGACAGGGCTCCACAAGCACTGAAACCTCCCAAGCCTGCCACCGATCACAATTTAAGGATGGAAACTTTGAGAATAAATTATAACTAAATTATTCCCCAGATAGTTTTACCATATTTAACTAACCTATAGGAATAATTGCCGAATCTGACCCCCCACAAAGCATCATATCCTGAAATTTCCATGTTATGATATACAAAGTGTCATTATACTTCACATGGTCTGGAAATTACATACGAAAACAATGGAGTAAGAGTAATTCACCCACTTACTGTTTCACCTCTAATTATATGATTTGAAGCACTCAATATACAGAAGTTACTTGTTGCACATGCAGTGGAGATTGAGTAGCTTGGACCCATCCAACCCTGCAGTTGTTTCAATCAGCTTTGAATGAATAAGGAGAAACAGTTCTTTCAATCATATTTTGATCTCATCCAATAAGTAACTTACCAAATCTATTGCAAGCATGGCAGCTCCCATATTGGATGTTGCAAAAGGTACACAGAAAGGATTCAGCTTCTTGTACGACACCTGTAAAGCCTCAATGCCATCATGGAAGACCTGATCAAAGAGAAAACAATCAATTATTTGGAGATGGAAAAAAGAGGAATTTAATATGCCATAGAATGGTAAGTGGCAGCTCTGATATCATGAAAATACAATATGAACTGGAACCTCATTTGTCATTACTTGTTTAGCTTTTTATGGTAACAGTATTGCTTGATTTTTACAGTTAACAAGTTTAACAACTCTTCTCAAAATTATATCATCATTATGCTAGATGGCATTCTTTGGAACAATGAATTACAAGAGCTTCTCTTTTAGGGCTCTCGGAATGATCATTTAGTCGTAATAGGTCATAGCCTTGTAGACAGAATAACCTAGCACCTGTTGGTGGTGGGAGGTGTCAGGTATTCCGTGATTTAGTCGAGGTGCACGAAAGCTGGCCCGGACACCACAGTCATAAAATGTTTAAAAAAAGGCATATATCTTAAGCAAGTTCATTTGTTACCTTCATCCCTCCAAGGGCAGAGCCAATAAGGACCCCACATCTAGCCTTATCTAATTCCTGCAATAAGTCTTCTGTGATCCCACCATCTGCCAAAGCTTTCTTTCCAGCAGTAAGCATATAAAGCATGAACTTATCTGCTCTTTTCGAAAGTTTGGGTGCAACCCATCCATTAGTCGAAAATTCCTTGATTTCCCCAGCAATTCTCTGTCGCAAGGAAGACCATTGTGAAACATCTTGAAAGACACTTTGGTTAGTGAAAAATATTAGTCAAAGTAGAAGATAGATTAACAGTTTGACGTGCTAAAGCAATCATGGAAAATTACACTGGGAAATTCAGAACAGTCGAAAGCCTCAATCTGACTTATACCACTGATGCCTTCAAGAAGATTACTATAAAACATGTCTGGATCATGACCAATTGGTGATACTACACCGACCCCGGTCACAACAACTCTCCTGTTCCTCATAAGAGGTTTCTTCATTGTCGTGGCTTCCATTGCAGGTTGCACAGCCACAGCCATGGGTTTGCCTAGAAGTACATCAAATCAAAATGAACAGTTCATCACATTGTTGGAGTCATGCAGTTTAAACATTCTTCGAAGACATATGCTAGAAATGTTTGATAGGCATGAAACATATCTTGAATAATATGTATAAACAAAGATAACACTCTACAAGTTCGAGTAGGTAGTTCTCTCTGTGTGCACGAATTTCATTCACGTTTTCCTCACAAAACACAAACATCAATCCCAAAATAACTAGCAAAAGCTCATATAGTTGTTTTGAGGATTGAGATATTTGTTATTTAAAGCATCAGTCACAGATCTTTAGCTATTCAAATCGAAGAAATATAGTTTAATTTTACTGCCTCCATACCATTTATTGACACAGAGTTTTTTTTTTTAAAAAAAAAAAAAAGCTTTGGGCAAATAAGCCAAACATATAAATTTGATAAAACAACTTATGAATTAAAAAGAACCAAACCCGAAAACGTTTTTGAGTTGTATTACAATTCATTATTCAGTCGTTGTGCTATATCACATCCGTAGTCACATACTAAAGACATAGAATATACCCAAAATCCAATGGGTCGATTAAGTCGAT